TTCTCATCATCCCAGCGGAAGAATGGGACCAGGCTCTGGTGCACATCCGTCTTTCCCTCTTCTGCTGCCAACTCCATCAGCTCTTGGAAGAGGCGAAGGGAGAGCAGCTGCACATTGGTGTTGTCCTGGTGCAAAAGAAGACAAAAAAGACCTCAGCATTGGCTGCTCCAGGCCCACCAGGCAGAGGCCTGAAAATCCCGAGAGCAAAAAGTTTCCTGGCAGCACCAGAGCCTTACGTTGTCAAAGAGCGGCCGAAGTGCCTCAGCCAGCTTTGGGGCAGCGGAGCTGAATGCCTGAAGGTCTTCATCCCGGAGCACATTGAGGAACACAGAGAGGGTCATCCCGACCAGCTCTCCATCTTGATGATGCAGCAGCTCCAGGAGGCTTTCAGCCAGGCTGCAGATGTTTTCGGCCTGTGTGGAACACAGTGCTGTGCTGTGAAGCCCTGAACAGCTGCCCCACCAACAGCTCTCTGCTGGTGCAACCCCACGGGGCTCAGAAGCCAAAGGCCTGTCCCACAGGACCTGGGCAGCTGCACAGGGAGGCAGGAGAGCTGGGAGCAGCTGACACATCTCCCAAAGCCCAGCCAAGCTCAGGCGCCTATGTTCCCCAGCCCCAGGCTGCCAGTGTGGCTTCAGCCATGTGTCCCCTTCTCACCATTGAGGGATCCACACTGAGAACCAGGAGGCCTCTGAGTGCCAGGCGACGCCTGTCTGGGCACTGGCTCTGCAGATTCTTTGACAGGATGGGCAGGACCCTGTCATGACAGTCTCTCCCATCCAGATAGTCCAGGAGCTGGAAGGCAGAGAGCAGTGATGGGGTGCCCGGGTGGCAGGAACCCGGAGCTGCCCAGGGCTGGGCCCAGGCAGCAGCACAGGGCACAGGCACCGTCCCGGGCAGCTGCGGCTGCAAGAGGGCAGAGAGGGGGAGGCAGGTGGGTGAGGCAGCGCTCGCCATCAGGCTCACCTCCACAAGGAAGGCCAGGGCAGGGAGCTCCCAGAACTGCTGGTCTCTGCTGAGCAGCCCGAGCAGGTGCATTGCCATCTCAGAGTGGAAGGGGACCAAGACACGGCGCATCTCCCTGTCAGGGGGAAAAACAGAGCCATTGAGCCTGAGCTGGCCAGGCAAAACTGTCCAAGGACTGACTCCTGGGCAGAGGCCTGGATTTTCCCCACCAGCCCTGAACAGAATGGGGATGTTCTGGGAGGTAGCTCCTCCTGTGCACCTGCCTCTCACAGCCTTTTCCAATCTGCTTGGCCATCCCTTGCTGCCAAGGCCCTCTGGCCCACGCCCACAGGGGCTGTGTGGGATGCCCTGTGCCCGGGGGAGAGATGATGGGGGCAGTGGGGAGAAGGGTGTCTCACCTGGCCAGCAGCCCCACAGCATAGTGGTGGGTATCAGTAGAGAGGAGTGTCTCCCAGCCACACTTCCGTTCGATAGCCACCACCTCATTCTCCCAGTGCAGGCAGCAGAGCAGGGCCTTCAGGGTCTGTACTGCAAACCTGTGTGCACAGCAAAGGCCAGGTCATGCTGGGAGCCCTGGCCCAGCCACAAGGGCCCGGGAGGGATAGAGGACAGGGATGGAGCACCTGTTGGGGTTGCTGGGAATGCCTTGTTCCTCCTGACATCCCCTCCAGAAAGTGTTGACCTCCTCTGGCATCTGCTCTGTGCTCATGAAAATTTGGAAGAGCAGAGCCACGAGGAGCTGTGGGGCACAAGTCGTCAGGGCCTCTTGGCACTGGGGCTCCTGGATGATGTGCCACAGTGCCAGGGTTGCCTGCAATAAAACCACCCAGAGACAGCACTCAGTGTGAGAGGCCCATGTGGCAGTGCTTGAGCATGGGAGGGAGAGGCCAGGGGAGAGCCGAGGGAGCAGCCGACCTGGTGTCCCTGAACCTGCCCCTCAGCCACATTTGCAGCCCAGTGCCTGAGGCAGGGAGATGCAGTGGTGGGGGAGGTGACCTGGGGAGGAGCAAATACCAGATCCAGAAACTCACAGTCAGGGCAAAGATGTCTTTGTTGTCACCAGCAGAAGTGGACATGGTGTGCACTGGCCAGTCCTCCATCGCTCGGAGCAGTGTTGGCAGCACCTTCTCCACTGTTGTTCCTGAAGAGGCGATGCTGCTCCACATCATTGCAGAAACTCTGTGGAGTCAGAGCTCTGGTCAGGGGGGTCTTGGCCACAGCACCATGGCCTGGGCAGCTGTGGGGACCCAGGTGACAGAGCCAAAGTGCCTTGAGGGGCAAGGAGGGCACATGGCTGCAGGATCAGGGGCTGACAGGCCAGGGCTGGGAAATGGAGGGACCAGAGTGTCCTGGAACTCTCCATTTCTCTGGCAGATCAGGTGGGACAGGCTCTCGAGGGTGATGGGTTGTAAGGGTTGTTGAGCCCTGAGCCACCAAGGCAGCTGGGCCCTGTACCTGTCACATGCTGGGGCACAGCTCAGGAGAGTTGTCACCACATCACAGGGGTGTGCCTCAGCGAGCCTGCGGATGTTAGTGTGCATTCTGACATCTGGAGACACCTGGGAAGTGAGGCACTGGTGGATGTACCTCACGATGGCTGGCACCTGAACAGGGATTGGGGGAGAGTTGTAGAGTTGTCAGAGCGAGCAGGTTGCTCAGCTTCCCCCAAG